TACTCTCTACATTTCCTTCTCCTCTGCCTTCCATCTTCTGGCGGCCCAAGTCATCTCTCTGCACAGTGCACTCATGGCCTTCGAACTGAGCTGAAACATGCCTGCTGGTGGGACCAAGATAAACTGAAAGGGAAAGCTTTCAGTTTGTTGGAAAGCATTAGTTTGTAAATTCACATAGCATGTTTTCTTTTACAAGACACTTGACACACCTGACATTTGCTCTTATACTTTTTTCTTTTGGTGAGGAAGGTTGGCCCTGAGGTAACATCGTTGCCAGTCTTCCTCTCTTTTTGCTTGAGGAAGACTGGCCCTGAGCTAACATCTGTGCCAGTCTCCCTTTACTTTGTATATGGGCCGCCGCCACAGCATGGCTTGATGAGCGGTGTGTACATCCGCAGCCAGGGTCCGAACCCCGAACCAGCGAACCCAGGCTGCGGAAGCAGAGAGCGGGAACTTAGTACGCCACCATGCCGGCCCCTGCTCTTAATATGTTTTTAAAAAGAAAAGAATAGCGTGTCCACAGTGTTGATGGTGATGGTGTTGGGGGCAGAAGAAGAGGGAAAAATTTGAACACAATCTAGCATTTGCAATACCCCAATAGTCCGCTATCTTGCCACGATCTCAGATATGAAGAAGAATCTGAAAGTTTGGAGTAAGATAGTTTCTTCCAGGCTGAAAGCATACAACAAGCCCTCCTGACCAAAAGGAGTCTTTTGCTGTACAGACCCAAAGTAACTAATAATTACAAGGGCCTCTATGCAGTAAAAATGCACCAGAATAGTGCTTTAATGGAATGTGTCTTTGAGAACTGGGAAAGAGAAAATGAAATGTTTCTCATCTTAGAGAAAAATTAAGATGATCTGGTTATTTTAAACAAGCTACTTAGACTTTAATATATGCTTTTTCCCTACCCCCACATAACGTATTCTGAAAAATCTGCCTGGAAAGTAGACAGGTAACAGAGAATAAATGGACTTAGGTGTATAATGAGTGTTTCATTTTCAGAGTATTAAAAACATCCTACAGACCATAATTTCACTCTGCCTTTTAGACAGAATCTTTAATGATCTATTTCAAGCATTTTATTTTGATTTTTTTTCCTTATAAAATTTAACACTTTGAATTGGTTTGTTTGTGTTTTTTTTACATTGACTATAGTAAGTCTGATGAACGTCTGTTTTAGGCTAAAGACTAATCCCTTCAGAACAATGATTTTCATCTTTGTCTCAAGTCTGTTAAATTAATGAGAACTTTACCGTCTATCATTAATAAAAGCACTCTCCTTCTCTGTTCTCCCGTCATTAAAAAACTTTTTATACATATCAAAGTAAAACACGTATACATATATACTCAATAGTACTAAAACTTTCAGAATTTACAAATATATCCATATGCCCCATCTTTCCCCATTCCAATACCTGCTCCCAGTGGCAACCATATAAAAATCTTTTAGCTGTGTCATCTGTTTTTTTAATTCCTGTATTTCTAAATATGTTTATACTGCTAATTTTTTCAAATTTTTCTATTTTAGACATTATTTACTTACTTCCAATGATAGAAGACGAGGATTGAGTTTCCTTACACACTCCCCCCCACACCATACACATACTTCCTCACTTTCTGTCTACCAATAGAGCTATGTCGCTATTATTTTAATTAAATCAACATTCAAAATTATACTAAACAATACAAAAATCAGAAGTGACATTTCTATTGCTAGGTAAACATAGGTCACAATTGAACCACTTAGTCTACTTTGATTATATTTACTGTCAGGTACTACTTTTTTGTTCCCTAAAGTAAATAATTGTCTTGGTTTTTGTTGGCTTAGTTTTCCATGTAATTATTACTAATTTATCCCCAAACTTTCTAAGAGGAATATGGAATTCTTCTTAAAATGGTGTACCTCAGTAAGTTTATCAGTTCTATGTTTTTTTTTTCTTGACGCTCTCCCTCCAGGGTCCTTGCCATCCTGTCTGACCTGCTCTTGAAGGCCATCATCCTGGGGCTTCTTTTTGCCAGCAGCCCGAGAATCCCCTTCACTCCATTCCTGCATTGTATTTTCTCCTTCCTTGAGGCCACATCTTCCTTTTTCTTGGCTTATCTCCTCATTCTCTTGGAACAAATTCGCCCGTAGATTCCGGAGAAAGTGTACACAAGAAATACTTTTAATTTTAATTTTATTTTTTGAGACCTTAACCAATCTTAATTCTATCCTCTAACTCAATTAAGTATTTAGCTGGGAATAAAAATCCAGGTTGGAAATAACGTTCTCTCAGAATTTTGAGGCATTGTTGCAAAGCCTTCTGGCTTCCAGCATTGCTTTTGAGAAATCCAATTCCTGATCCTTTGAATCTTTCTTATTTTTTCTCCCTGGAAAATTTTCAAATCTTCTCTTTCTCCGTAGTGTATGGGAAACTTGCTTTTATATTTTATAGATAATTTCTTCTCCTTTATTTTTTCTTCCTCTTTCTGGATTTTTTGTTCCTCACACATTAATCTAAATTCTTGTCTTTTTTCTTCTATTTTCTATTTGTTTGCCTTTTTTGTTCCATTCTCTGTAATATTTTCTCAACTTGATCTTCTATTAGACTTTTGATTTTCATGTTATATATCAGTTGTTTTATTATCAAGAGTTCTTTTTCATTTTCCAAATGTTCTTTTTCCATATCATGTTCTTACTTAATAGATGCAAAATATTTTTATATGTCTGAATATATTATTTATACTTTTCTTGAAATTTACTTCTGCTGCTGCCTTGTCTTTCTTCCTTCTAACATCTTTTTTTGCTTATTTTGTTTTTTAGTCTTTAGATTTATAGGATATCCTCGAATGTCTGGCAGTCAAATCATATTTAAGAATGAGACACTGAAAATCTGATTGCAAGTTCTATGTGCACGGGCAGAATTGTTAACTAATGCGCTAACCGTAGGAAACTATTCATTAAAAGACCCCAAATGTCAGTATCTGTAGGTCTTTTTTCTTGAGGTGGTCAATTTTCCCAGAGAGGAATCTTCTTGACTTCTTCTGGGAGTGGTGGGTAGGTCCAAGTTATATGTTTAGCTGATAGCATTCTGAAACTCAAGCAAAGAATATGGGGGTTCTTACCATTCAGTAGGCTGAACTTCACTTAATCCCTCTGTTTTCAATTTCGTGCCTTCCTCTCACCTTTAGCAGTGCTAGGTGTCCCTAAGCTCAGAGACTCTGCTCCTAGCTCTAGGCAGTAGCCAGTTCTCTGCTGTTGGGATTGGGGAGGGACGCTTCACAGCTACTTAGGCGAAGGAGGAGACCTGGGGTCTGACTGCTCCTCATACAGACTTTTAACCAATACTCTAGATGACAGTTCCATCCCACATTTAATCCTTTAGAACTAACTGATGTCTTGAATTCCTTAATTCTGTCACTAGAATAAGTATGCTCTTTTAATAGAGTCTCTCTTCTGCTAAGTCAGAAATCACTCGTTAGTTCATTGTCCCTCTTGCAAAAGTCTGTTGATATCTCTAAACTGTTGTCATCTTCTCTTCCATTTTCTTTCTCTTTGTTTATACCTTTTTATTTTTTTACTGTCATTTTAGTTGGGTTTTAGGAGGAAACAGAGATGAAAAGCTGTGTTCAAATACTCATATTTAAGTAGAAGTCTCTAATATTCTATTTTTTATAAAACAACAACAAAAATTAAATAATTGCACAACCAAAACAATTGCAGAGCCAAAAATGCAGCTGTTGAAACTGAACGAATTGGCTGGCAGGCACCACTCCCATTTGAGAGTTCAGAACATCCTCCTGATAGCAGAGTGCACAGGTTCGAATCCCACATATGAAAGGCTGAATGTATGAGTATGTTAGCTGTAAGAAAGCCACTACAAAGTAGGTCATAAAGAGCAAATTACGCCAAAGTAGTTGGAGTTATTTCCATGACTAAGTGATGGGTCATATAGATAAAGGACAAGACGCGGATACACAGTGAAGCTTGGAATTTTATTAAGTTTTTCTTATAGTCAAACTAGGAAGATGTGGTCTATCCAAGTTACACTCAACATTTTAATATGTAGGAACCCCCCAAAATAGTTTTCTTACTTTTGAAAAATTGTATTCTCATATTTATAAAAAATCTACAAACTTGAAAGAAGCAAAACAAAAACCAATGTTTCACCACCCAGAAATGTTTTAGACATTTTTTCATGTATATAAATACAACCATTTTTAATAGTTAAAGGGCATACCATGGCATTATATACTATAATTTACTTAACAACCTATAGCCAGAGTATTTCCAAGTTTGGGGATATTATAAACAAAATCGTAATGAATAATTTTGAGCATAGAGACTATTGCTCAATGATTTCTAGCAAATGTACTTTAGGATATCTAATTTTTTTTCTTTTTTTTGTGAGGAAGATCAGCCCTGAGCTAACATCTGCTAATCCTCCTCTTTTTGCTGAGGAAGACCAGCCCTCGGCTAACATCCGTGCCCATCTTCCTCCACTTTATATGGGACGCCGCCACAGCATGGCTTGATGAGCGGTGCGTCGGTGCGCGCCCGGGATCTGAACCGGCGAACCCCAGGCAGCCACAGCGGAGCGCATGCACTTAACCGCTTCCACAACCGGGCCGGCCTCTAGGATATCTATTGATTGAGAAAATGCACAATGACCAAAATCTCATATGAATTTAGTAATAATTTTAAGTGGATTGGTGATTTATTACTCATAATAGCCTTACGGTATGTTTTAAAAATAGAAATATGCATATACATAAAACATTATTTACAAAAATCTGCAAACAATGAGAGCTATACAGAAATCTAGGAATAACTCCATGCCCATGCATCCTCCCCCCACCTAAAAACATTCCATGACACATTAGTTTTGAATTATTGGGGAGACTGTGTTAGATGGTATCCAATTGGTTTGAAGCCATCAATGAAAGCACATAATGTTAAGGACTGCCAGCGGAACTTGATTCAAGGCACCTAAGATCTTCATCAACAATTTAGATGATGGACTTTTAGTGTGCTCATTATTTTCAGAGGATAAGTTGAATAGCATTATTTGTGAAAGTTTGACTAGAAGGCAATATTATCTCTTAAAGATGGGGAGGAAAATATCTATTGAACAAGGAAGCAAACTCCTCCTTATAAAAAGTAGCCATGACATAAGAGAAAGGCCTGATGGTTGTAGTGGGCCACAAGCTGGAAGAGGGGTGTTCTTTTTGAGATAATCGTGGTAATACGATATAGTAACAGGAGTAATACATTCAAGGCCAAGGTGTAACCCATCCAGGATGTTTCCAGTGGCCCAACAGGCGCTGGTGGCACGAATTTTTACCAATAGCTGACTCTCCTAAACAAACACATTGTCAAAATGAATTAAAACCAATCATTTTATGTATTTCTGTATGCACAATGCCTTCAGTGATGGGTTTGATTATAATGGGTTATATTAATTGATTCTCATTCTACTCTACAAATTATACAAATTAGTATTTTAAGCTAAATATTCTCTCCGTTTTGTTTGGTTGGTTAGTTGGTTTTATCCCCTCCCGACTGATGATAGCATCTAGCTCGGGATGGCTGCTTCTCCCTAACTCCCTGGATGCTGGTAGTGCCAGTGTATGTGAAAATCCTTTAACCAAAGCTCATAGGTAAGTGACGCAGAAACAATGCTGAGTAGCCAAATGGCCCCAGCTTATGGATTTTACTGCACATTTATGTTAAATCAACAGGTTCCAAAACTAGCAGGCCCTACCAGCCTGCCTCATTTTGGGGTTAGAGCTTCAATCGAATTTCAAATTCATCCCACCCCGGGGGAAAACCAGTGTCTAGCCCTTGCTGGGATGGATGAATGCAGGCCACTGGGATCAGAAGCCACCTTGGCACAGCACAGCCTGACCTGAAGAAGCCAGAGTTTCCCCAGTAGCTCCGATGACTTTCTGGGGATTGGAGCAGGTGCTGCACCACCTACCCTGCGTTGTTCAGCCCAATCTAAGAGGAGAGACTTTGACACCAGACAGGGAGGCTGAGCTGGAATAGGGTGCAGGGCTGTATCTTGTGGGTCTGCTCCCAGGCAATACGTAAGTGAAGGAACTCACTGTAGCCCCTGCTCTGCAGGTGGCTCCCTCTAGGACCTTGGTTTTGCCCCTCCACCCCTCTGAGCCTCAGTTTTACTTTGTGTCAGTGCAAATGATAATGTCCTCCTTGAGGTAAGTTTTTTGAGGATGAAATTAAATACTAATGATAGCTAAATCTACTGAGCACTTACTATATGTTTTCATGTCCCTCTTTGCTAATTCTAACATCTGTGTCAGTTCTGGATTGGGCCAGTCGACTTCAGCTGATTAATTATTCTCCTCAATCTGGGTCATGTTTTCCTGCCTCTTTGCCTGCCTAGTAATCTTTGGTTGGATGCCAGGCATTGTGAATTATATATTTTTGGGTGCTAGATATTTGTGTATTACTGTAAATCTTCTTGAGCTTTGTTCTGGGATGCAGTTACTTGGAAATAGTTTGATTTGGGGAGGTCTTGCTTTTATGGTTTGTTAAGTGGGTCCAGAGCAGTGCTCAAGCTAGTGCTAATATTTCCCACTACTGAGACAAGACCTTCCTGAGGACTCTACCCAGTCTGGCTGAAGAAACACAGTTCAGGCACAATTCCTGGTCCTGTATTAGCACCAGGCACTGTTCCCTCTAAGCCTTGCAGTTGGTTCCTTCCCCGAGTCCAGTGTTCTGATCAGCATCCTCCCCCTGCAGATCTCCAGGATTCTCTTTCTGTGCAGCTCTCTCTTCTCTCATATTTTGTCCTCTGCACTCTGGATGCTTTGGTCTCCCCAGACTCAGCTCAGTCTCCTCAACTCCATGAAATCACTGGGCTCTGCCTCAGTTTCCCCTCCCTGTGTCACAGTCTGGAAACCGTCTCAAGGCAGGAAGTGATGGTAATTGTAGGGCTCACTGAGTTTATTTCCCATTTCTCCAGGATCATTGTCCTTCATTAACTGATGTCTGGTGTCTTGAAACTGTTGTTTCATATATTTTGTCTCTTTTTTGTTGCTGTTTCAGACAGGAGGATAAAATCCAGTCTCTGTTACTCAACCTTAGCAAGAAGCAGAAGTCAGAACTTCAATTTTGGAGTCACCTAGATTTGGGTTAATTGGCTGACTTTGTTCCTTGACTCGTGTGACCTCAGTCAAATTATATAAACTGCCTGAGCCTCAGTTTGTTTTCTGTTAAATGGGGTAAACAAACTTCCTCAATACGGTGCCACAGGACAGAAGGAGAAAATGTGTATAGCACGTGGTATGTGTTGAAAAAAGAGAAGGTAAGCAGGCAGGAAACATGGAAGAAAAAGTGTCCCTTGAAGAGACTGAGAATTGAATCGAGCAGGAGAGATGGCGTAGAGAAAACCAGCGAGGGACCCCTTGGGTAGAGGAGATAGGGAAGAGACGTGGGGAAGTACATGGCCAGGGTGGAGAAGGAGAATGGAGGAATAAGGTGGCAGAACAGAGAAGTGGGGGAAAGGGAAGGAATTCCGTAGCCACACAAGGTTCTGTGGTTTGGGTCCAGCACAGAAGTGCCCAGCCCAGGGGTGGGTGGGGCTTAAAATCTAACCTGAGCTCAGCAATCCAGGCTGTCTTCCCAGAGGAAGGCATGTTTATCATCTCCTTCTGCCATCAAGCGGTGGCCTGTGGGGCTGCATTTGCCCAGAGGAGTGTTTTCCTAATTTGCACCAAGGTGCTGTGTAGGCTGTGAGGCCCCATCTACAAACAGTGGATAGTGTCAGGAGACTTGCCAGCTTCCAGTAAAACATCTCTCTTCTGTGGGAACTTTGGACAGTAAAGAGCTTAATGTCATTTATTCACTTGTCCCTTTCTTCAGCAGATGTTTTACCCAGCATCACTGTGGGCCAGGCACTGTGCTGGGGGCTGGGGCTAAATGATGAACAGGGCACAGTCTCTGCCTTCTAGAGGAGAGGTGGTCACAGACTGTGTGCTGTGGCACCCTTGGGCTAGCAGCAGAGGGGAGGAGCAGAGTCGAGGCGAGGACTGAGACCACCCGGGCTGTAAAGCCGGCCCTAGGAGGCTGGGACTCTCACTCTCTCTCCCTCCTACCGAACTGGGGAGAGGGATGCCGGCATTAGGTTTGGGGTAGCAGGGCCAGTCTGGTGAGCCTGAGGAAGGTGTCTGTCCCCCGGTGTTGGGAGCTTTCTTTAGAATGTCAGGTTCTCAGTGCTTGGCACAAACTCTGGGTTCCAGTCAACATCCCGTACATTCTCCCCATGGGTACAATGTTAAATTATCACAACATTTGTTGAATAGATAAAATAATCATATGATATAATATGCAAAATTCACAGTAGGATATAGTGGGAAGTAAATCTCCCAGCTACCCAGTTCCCTTCCCCAGAAGCAACTATTATTACCTGTTTCTTACGTGTCTTTCCGGAGATTCCTATGCATAAGGAAGCAAATACATACATATATACATGCAGATGCTTTTTTAACACAAATGCTGGGTATAGGGTTCCAGCCAGCTCACTTACATGCATTATGAGAAAAGAGGAAGATATGTTAAATTCCCAAGGTCCTGGGTCACTGTTTTTTTTTTTTTCCGAGGAAGATCAGCTCTGAGCTAACATCCATGCTAATTCTCCTCTTTTTGCTGAGGAAGACCGGCTCTGAGCTAACATCTATTGCCAATCCTCCTCCTTTTTTTCCCCAAAGCCCCAGTAGATAGTTGTATGTCATAGTTGCACATCCTTCTAGTTGCTGCATGTGGGACACGGCCTCAGCATGGCCGGAGAAGCAGTGCGTCAGTGCGCGCCTGGGATCCGAACACAGGCCACCAGCAGCGGAATGCGCACACTTAACCGCTAAGCCACGGGGCGGCCCAGGGTCACTGTTTTTATCCCTTAGAAAGTCTTGTATCCACTGCTGTCTGTTCAGCTCATTTCTGCTGTCAGATGCCTGCTCGAAACCTTTGGGTTTGACTCTGGGGCCTTGTGACCCAGACTCTGAGTTCTCGGTGTCTCGTGAGATTCCTGTGCACGCCTGAGCTCACCAGCCTTCTGGGACGTGGGGAAGTTTACCCCAAGTGAGGCAAAGCCCTCCCAGCTTCCAGTGCCCATTGGGCTTTCATGTTTGTTGTAATGAAAGTGAAACCTAGCTGTCTCACAGGCTGTGCTGGGAATGTAGAATTCCATTTTTATCACTGCCTGAAAATGCCAGTGACTTTGCTCGGCCATGCTCTGAGGCTCATGTGATCAGCGTGTGCTTCATTGTGGATTCAGCAGCATCATTTGAAACACTCTCTGCCACGAGGAAGCCAACGCTGACACTGGAGTGGGCATTTTCTATGCCTCTGTACAAACCGCAGTAGACCAACTGAGGGCAGATTAATTTTCAGGCTTAATACCTATTCCTAGTTATTTAAAGTTTTATACTCTCCATACAAATTGCATTCAAGAGAAGACTCAACACGTAATCTTATTGACCAATTAGACATTCTTAGACAATTATTATAACAAGACATTCACCTGAAAGTGAAATTTTTACAAATTATAAAGTGGCTGCTTGATTTTTCACAATGAAAATAGTAGAAATTATTTTCAGGGTTATTTAAAATCCAACTTGTGCTAATTTAGCTCGTGCTAAATAAACAATGTTAGATAAAAATGCTGGAAAGCTTCAAAATTTGTCTTCTCTATTACCTTTGTTTTCAATTTTTCTGTTTATCCCTGTTTCCTCTACCTATCTCCCTTCTTCTGCTTTTCATAGAACTTTGGAAAAGAATTTGAGACCTTGGAAAAGATCTTACAGATTTTTTTAACTTATTATTATTTTTTTTTAGATAACCCCACTCATCAGAATTCCCTGGGATGCTTTTTCAAAAATATAGACTCCTTGGCCCTATCTCTGGAAAGTTTATTTCAGCAGGTCTAAGATGTGACCAGGGAGTCTGTACTTTTAAACATTTTCCGAGTAATTCCAAGGGCACTCTCCAGCATATGATGGGCTCAGCTCATCGATTCACTTGTTCACACATGTGTAGAGATCATGTTTGTGAATCAGGCACTATTCTAGGTGCTTGGAATAAATCAGAAAACCAAGCAGACAAAATTCCTGCCCTTGCACAGCTTACACTGTAGCGTTTATTAAAATAAAACAAAACAAAAAAACCCACGCAAACCTCTGCACTGTCCACCAACTCAGACTGCACCCATAAACTCTGCCAACTCTTCTGCAAATGTCTGTGCCCTGGTCATAAGGGAAACCAGATAAAATATGGAAGGATAAGAGCATGAATCCTGTATATGAGAGCCATCAATCATTTCCTCCCACCCCACACTGTCTTCTTGGAGAACTTGTCCTCAACCCCTTCTCAGAATTTCTGCTCCCACAGGTCCTGCTGAATGGGCCCTGAGCCACATGACTCCTGCTGTGGCCAAGCTGCTTGGACCAGGGGCAGATACATGATCAGAACTGGGTCAATCCAATGCTTCTTTAGGGAGTTTAGAATATGCACGGAGAAAATTCAGTGGAGTTGCTAATTCAAATGCCTGTAAGGGCCAAACAGGTAACATAATGAGTGATGCTGGCCTGGTGTAAGGAAACCAACAGTACAACTCCTAGGGTAGACTGCATCCCCCCGATGTGATGGTATTTGGAGATGAGACCTTTGGGAGGTAATTAGGTCATGAGGGTGGAGTGCTCATGAATGGGATTAGTGCTCTTATAAGAAGAGACACGAGAAAGCTTGCTTCCTCTCTCTCTCTCTTTCCCCCAGCCATTTGAGGAAACCAGGAAGAGGGCTCTCAGCAGAACTCGACCATGCTCGCACCCTGATCTCAGACTTCCCAGCTTCCAGAACTGAGAGAGATACATGTTTTTTGCTTAAGCCATCCAGTCTCTGGTGTTCTTGTTACAGCAGCTGACTAAGGCAGATACAGTACAGAGGGGTGTGAACTGGGGCGTGTTGGCGAGCTCAGACTCTGTGCTGAGGGATGGCTGTTATTCAGCTCCAGCCAGTTGTTGCCATATGGAAGCCCAGTGTGCCAGGTTTTCTAATGTTTACAGAAGAAGTCCAAAATTAAGGTTTTTATATGAAATCTCACAATTCAACAATGTTGAAATTATTTTTCATTAAAAAAACTTGTGTTGTCCAAAGCAAACTCAGTGGCAGGCTGTAGAACACCAGTGGGCAACTTCTGCCTGCTCCAGCCAGTCTGTTGGAAATGAGGACAGAGAAGTGTGGAAAACCAGGGACCGAGGCTGCTACGTTTGGTCCATGTGTCCAGAGAGGCAGAGATAGCCAAACTGCAGAGAAAAAAATGTGGTAATGACAAAAGCAGAGATTTTTTTAAAACTTGGTAGAATTTGTGGTAAATTCCTGACAGCCTTCTAGTTTTTTATTCCAGTCCATCACCTCTGGACCTTGGGTGCTGTAAGACACTCCTGTTTCCTTATAATAAAACCACCTTTTTTGCGTAAGCTTCTGTTAAGTACACACAATCACTGATAAAGGTTGTGGGAGTCTATTATCTTCTTCCTAGTTCAAAGGGCAGTATTATTACTAAGCATTAGTATAACTAATATCGACTCCTCTGTGTGTCAGTTGGTTTGATATCTGTCAGGTGCATCATATGATCTTAGCATGTGGTTTCAATCTATTGAATTGAACTGATGTTTATCTAGACCAGTGGCTGCCAACTGGTGATGCACTGGCTGTGCATCAGTATCATATGGGTTGCTTTTGGAAAAATGCACATCCTCTGGATCCATGCCAGACTTACAAAATCAGAGTCACCAGAGGTAGAGCCTGGAGACTGTATTACAAGCTCCCTGGATGATTCTGATGCAGCCAGCCCAGCACTGGTTTGAGAACCAGAGTGTTGGGTACCACCATGAGACCACCATCAGGAATGGACCACACCTGTGCCAGGGTGGGCAGTGGTTGCTTGGCTGCTTAAAAAGGATGCTAAGGAGATGCCAGCTTCTAAGTTATATTATCTTAAGTTATAGTCCAAAAGTTTTCCATCTTGCCACCTTATCCTCTCTTGAACTGGGGAGTAGGTTGAGAGGAGAAGATCCTGGAGCCTCTTGGTTAAATCCCATGTGGGAATTACACTCAACCCGCCTGCAAGTGGCTCCTCTAATTTCTTTTGATGACACAGTGGTAAGCAGTTGAACATTACTGCTGAAACAGCCTTCCATGCAGCTTCATTGTAACGGGACAGAAGTGGCCAGATTTGTGGATGGATCCTCAGATCTCGAGGCTAATAACAGTGAGGACACTTTGTAATTGTCGTCTCATTTAAAGCACTCAGAGTGCTACATAAAAGAGTACTTCAGCTAATATAATGTTGTATGTCAATTATACCTCCATAAAAAAAAGAACT